CGCGCGAAAAAATGACAGCTCCGAGCTGTCATTTTGCATGTGGCTGCACGCTCATTCGTGGATCTTTATGTATTAAAATTTCGTTAAATATTGCGAATCTCGCAAAATGATAAAGGACTTTTCGACTCAGAATAATCTCTTCTATCTACACACGAGCGGTTATACGATCATTATCAGACACCCTGTATGTATATGTGTATATATGTAGATATACAGGGTGTCCCGTAATTGCCGTCTCACTGCTTGTAGGCAGGTAGAAGGAGGTTATTCTAAGACAAAAAGTCCTATACCATTTTGCTAGATTCGCAATAGTTACCGAGATCTTAATTAACAAAAATCCACAAATAAGCGTGCATCGGGCTGTCTTACGCGCGTAGGACAGCCCAGCGCGCTTTGCACGATTACATTTTAATATGTATATGTTATAGTATATGCTGTTATATTAGCTCCTCCCATATGTTGCTACGGGTAACACTGTAAACGCGCCGGACTGTCTTACGCGCGTAAGACAGCCCGATGCATGCTTATTCGCTGATCTTTGTTAATTAAGATCTCGGTAACTATTGCGAATCTAGCAAAATAGTATAGAACTTATCGGCTCAGTGTTACTTCTTCTATCTGTCAACGAAAGATGGGTAATTATTAAGTATAGGGGATTAAGATCCGATAACCGTGATTTTGATGTGTTGTAAAGGGCACTCTCCTGAGTAGTGTTTAAGAGGTTTTAGGCGGCGCTCATTTTTTATACAAAAGTTATGAACAAAAAAAGTTTCATCAATAAACTATCGTTTTTCGTCACCGTGTACATTTTTTGTGTGTTTTAAACATGTAGGCAAGGGGGCTGCGCCCCCCTGTCTACACGCTTCCAACAAAGAAATGAAAACAAATCGTCAATCTACCTAGTATCAAAAATCAATTCTAGTATCAAAATTATACATTCGGGACGAATACGAACAAAGAAATGAAAACAAAACAGAAAGTTTCAAGATATGCTACATATACACACATTGATGGCAACATGAACATTACTCATTTCCTTCTGAAATGTACACAGTGTCGAGAAACGAGAGTTTAGTCATCAAACTTTTTGGTTCATAACTTTTTTGGTTCATAACTCTTTTATAAAAAATGAGCGCCGCCTAAAACCTCTTGAACACTACTCAGGAGAGTGCACTTTACAACATATATCAAAATCAAGGTCATCGGACTTTATTCCCTATATTCAATAATTACCCAAAACATGATAAGGGAAGGTGCAGATGGAAAGACGTAGCCCCTCCCCTGCAGGGGGCGTAGCCACCCCTGCCTACATGCTTACAACCATAGACGTATAATGTATAGACTGCGCGTTTCCTACCTTTGCCATGGTAAGAAAATGTCTTCAACGTTGAGAGAGACAGCTGGTGTTGAACAGTAGCCTCATCTTTGTCTAGCGAAGTAGTGGGGGAAAAAAAGTCTTCGCTGATTGATGGAATAGTAGTGGAAAAATGGGGATAGAAAAATATTGGAGGTGAAGAAGAGTGAAAGAGATTAAGGGGTGATGGCAGGTTAGGTGATATGAAACAGTAGGCCCTGATCCCACCACAGACATTGTTAGACAGAGAAAGAGTTACTGTTCAAAGTATGTTGTCTCTGTCAACCATAAAGACGTCTTTTCAGCCAAACGCGCAGTTTATATATTTTACGTCTATGCTTACAACACGAACAAAATGTACGAAGAACCGGCCCAGTAGTCTCGCGGCCTGAGTACAAGGGCTGCAAACCTGAAGGTCCCGAGTTCGAATCCGCTCACCACCTAAAGGATTTTTTTCGGGCCGGTCCCTTTCAACCGAGTTTATCGGTTGATTGGCGAACTGAATCGGGCCTCCAAAAATTAATTCGGGTGTAATCCCGAATTAATTTCCCTTCCACAAGGCAATCGTAGTCATACCATCTTGAGCACAAGCCCGANATCGGGCCTCCAAAAATTAATTCGGGTGTAATCCCGAATTAATTTCCCTTCCACAAGGCAATCGTAGTCATACCATCTTGAGCACAAGCCCGACATAGATGGGCACGCCCACTGTGAAAGACGGCCGTGTATCGCGTGGTAGTAGGTAAAAACTGCAAATCCCCCCCCCACCCCACATTCGTTCTGAGAATGTATATCGATAGACTGGCGTTTGCTCCTCTCTCGCAGGGGCGTGAGCCATACAAGCAAAGAAAAGAAGAAGAACAAAATGTACGTGAGACCAAAAAATAAGAATTCATTCATGAAACTTTTTTCCCTTGTAACTTTTTAACAAACAATGACCCCCGCCTAAAACCTTCATATTATTACTCGGGACAATGATCTTGACAACATATGTACAAATTATTCAAATCGGAGGTGGCTCCTCTAATCTGCATAATTACCGAAATTACACCTCTAAATTGTTTTCGACGGTCATTTTTCTGATCATATTTTTCAAGAATAGTTTTTTAATAAAAAATGAACGCCGCGTAAAATCTCTTGAATACTACTCAAGAGAGTGCCCTTTACAACATATATCAAAATCAAGGTCATCGGACCTTTTAATACCCTATACTCAATAATTACCTTTCTTTCTTCTGTCAACGCGTTCGCATATGTATGCCATCTCGTAACAGGCATACGAACATGCACAACACACGACGATGATGAAAAAACGTGAATTTCTCAATCAAAAACTTTACTCGTCGCATATCCTTACAAATCAGGAACAAATAAAAAATCATAAGAATACTTTGTTTTTAAATGTTTTATTTTGAATCGATTAAGATCAAAACGAAGTTGATCGGTTCAGTTGTTACTTAAATATTGCCTTGAGAAAATCTCTTCACTTCTAAATTGCATGAATCTGGCGTATAAGAAGCACAGTGTGTTCGCGCAGTTTGTTGTACGTAAACTTAGCGAGGCACTAACTGTGCCTCTTGATATAACTAGAAACAATTTTACTTTTTTTGCCAAAATGTAGGCAAGTACATTTCTTATGATGAATAATGTGTAATAATATTAGTATGTTTTCCAATAAAACTGCACTTCTACTTTTTTTTTATAAGCTTCAAAATTCTTTTCTCTAAACATACTCAAGATATTCTATATGTCTCTATAATTAAATACAGTTTGGTTTAATTTATACTGCTACTTTTGTATATAAATTGAAAATATATTACGTGGTAACAGTCTATAAACTGGTTTTTCGTTTTTTCTTGTAGTTTTCTATTCTATGTCATTTTTTAGCATATTCTGTTTTGTTTTGAATGCATTTTTTATTCTACTCATTTATTGCACCGTAGAAAGAATAATAAGAAATGTTACTAATTACAAAAAATATTCTCTTAATTAGTCTCTCTCCAAAGAAAAAGTTACACTTAATAATTTATATTTTAATAATGTTTTTTTATCAAATGTATTTTAAAATCTAATTTATGTATTACCATAATAAAGCACACAACATAGTATATTTAATTATACTTTATAATCTTGCAAATCGTACAACAAGAGAAACAAATACTTTTACCAGTGCAATGATATATATGTAGATGAATATTGCGTCGTCACGAAAACTCAAACTTTATAATGTACTTTTCATACAATCATGTACCAACCAAGCAGAAAACTACTAAAAATAAAGATTCCTTTGAATATTTGATGCATCCAGTACAATCTGCAATACATGATTTGTTCTTAAGATGAGTTGAACATAGATCTTAGCTTAAGAACAAACATTAAGGCACATTACCTTTTACGTTTAATACGAGCACTTTCCAAAGTGCTATCATTCTGTTTTAGGAGATCCAAACGTATGCTTTTGCACAAATTGTGAAAATAAGTTTCCCAATCAAAATTTTTCATGTTAAAGTTAAACAATTGTTGATCTTGNGTACTTAAGCGATTCCACATCAGCTGAATGTTGCGGTTACTACAAATCCAGTCGTTAAGGGTAAAAGGACTGAGCATTTTCATTACTGTATGGATCTTTTGATATAGTTTTAACATTCTGAAAAACATAAAGAAATACAGTTTTGATAGAAACTTATATTCATGAGAGATAATCCAAAAAAAAGTAACAGATTTATATTGTTTTACAATACCTTGGTCGACGACCTGTGACTATNCTTAATATATTTAATAATATTGCCGGAAGTAAATGGCAAACCAAAATATAAATTTGATATATAATTTTCTGCGATATTAAAAGAGTCATCGGTTCCCATAGTATATCATTCGAGGGATATATAGTACTTGATGTTGTTATACCCTTACAAAACTTACGCCACGTGATGCCATCAATAGATATAATAGAGTTATAGATTTTTACCTCAGAATTGCTTTTGTATTCTCTAAAAGTATAAACATTTCTATATTATTTGTTTCAATATTAATTGAATTATCTAAAAACATTACGGAATTGTGTCCAAAATTAAAATCACATCGATATCATATTTCATTTGTGTATTGTGACACATAAGTCAACACTATTGAAATTATTTCTTGTAATAGAGTAAGGGGCCCAAATTACGTCACTGCGCCTAATTCCGTCTCTCGGCTGATCTCAGCTATTAATTAAGTACTGTTATGTGCTAGAAATTATTGAAATTAGTAGAACGCACGCATACAATCTTGTTATCACGTTATGAGCGTAATCGTTGTTGTTGTCGCAAGTTTATAACGTGTGGATGATTTGCAAGCAGCATACTGTAATGCAGGCTTCGGTGTGCGCCTTGTTTTTTATGTAAANAAATATGTTTTTTTATTTGCAATTTTGTGCAGATGTAATATATAACTTCTATTTTAACGTTACAAANTGATAATCTTATTGTGTCACAAGTAAAATGATTAAATAAAAATGTAAAATGTAACTCTGTTCCAAATTTCGTCCCCAGTATCTCAGCTATGTCATCTACTGAAACTATTACTGCGTTACGGGTGTAATTGTTGTTCAGAAATAAATAAAATGTTCTGATTGCTTCAAGTGGTATCACAAAATGTGTGCTTTAAGCTTTTATTTTATAATATATATTTTATAATATTAATAAAAATAATAATCAAAACTTAATTTTTTCTTTTCTTTATTGAACAAAGCAGTTTTTAGTGACTTCTGCGTACTCTTATAACTATATACAAACTATGTATTTTACTTAAGCTTTTTATTTTTCGCACGTAAAATCATTTTTTTGTAGATAATAGTGCTTCTGGGAGAAACATTTTACTAGATTATATTGACAGTTTCAATTGTTTTCTAAATAAATCGAGGAGCGACGAAATTAGGAACACTTTTTTGGAAACGACAAAACTGTATGCTCTCACATTTTAATTTTTTTTTCTTGTTGTATAAAAGTTTTAGTAAAAAGAATTATGGGATTTATACTAAAAGGTTTGAGTTACGCATATGAATTTTTGTAAGTCGGGCTATTAATTATAGTCTGAATAAGAAACAAAAAACTTAAGGAGGACGAACTTTGGGCCTCTTACCTTATATATATTATAATAGAGCTTTGTACGCGTCTAAAGGATTTTCTCTTACATTTTGTTGTGTTATAGCACATTCTCTTTATTTTCATGACGTCGAAATCTATAAATTCATTATTTTTACACTTTTTTTTTCATTCTTTATTTTTCTATTTTTTGACAAGAGTTTTGAGCAAAACGGTATTGAAAGTGCGAAACTACGTAGTAGCTTTGACTAACGTAGGAATGGTTGCAAAAATAGAGTAACAAAATGATAGACAAATACGTAACTAAATACGTACTAAAAGAATCATTATCCGCAAGAATAAAAAGGATTGTAAAAATATCGAGCGTAAATATTACGAGAATTTGCTGTATACCTAAAGTGATTATGAACGTCCCATGCACTTGCGATTAGAGCATTTACGGTAATATCAACGGGCACTAATTGTGCTCGTGCGTT